TAGGAATGAATTAGGAAATATTGAGAAGTAAGAACAGCATTAGCACAGCAAGAATTAAAAGGTGCATATTTATTTAAATGTCATTGTAATCTTAATTTAATTTTCCCATATAATACTGTACAAACATTTTTTCCTTCTGCTTTATAACAAAAACAAAGGTGGGATCTCAAGAAAGCAGCTTCTTTACAGGTTTATTTTAAAAATGAGGAACAGCAGGTGAAATCCTGGCCTCAGTGAAGTGAATGGCAAATAGCAAGCCATTAACTTGAATGGGGCCAGAATTTCACCTGGCATATTTAAATTACCGTGTTTACTCATAATAGAGTCCTCTCTTTTTCTTTGTTTTGTAAACTACAAGGCAATCCAGGTTCTTAGGCACACCCACATAGGGAGCCCTATTGCTCTGCCTCTGTGTCATTGTCACTTGTCCAGTAGGACCTAGAATGAGATAACTGATGTATGTCAGATAATCTCTCCATTGAAAATAGCTTCTGGTTGCTACAGACTAGGGCTGGAGATGAAAGGCTCTGTACTTCATTACCCTGAACTATTACATTTCCAGTTCTCTGCCCCCCAACACAGGCACATCTGTGTTGATTTTAATAAATTCATTCACTGAGTTTGCAATACATGGATTTTTAATTGCTGCTTTATTAACATCAAAGGTGTCATTCTTTGCTTCTTAAACAGCTACTGATGCCTCACAGGCAATTCTGACAGCATCTCATATTATATGAGTATTTTCTTGGCATTTTTTTAAACTTCTAAGACTATTTGCATTAAGAAAGGTTTGTTGGTGCTGCTATTATTACTCATCTGAAGTCCTGCTTCTCCATAACATAAGACTAATCCCCACAGTAGTTAACTATAGGTGCAGTCACACCTCTGGGATATGTAGCAAAAGGCACTCTCTCTGCACAGATCTTGCCCTCTAGTGCAGTCAGGGACCTCCATGATATGATTCCTCCTCAGAGAAAAGAAGAAGGGGTTAGTGAACAGGTTGAGGGAGGAGTGGATAGGCAAGAGGTGATACAAATCTTCCTGCTCCCTTTCTGGAGGTTACTTGAGAAGTATAATACAGAGAGAAGCTATACTACATTTTCACAGCTCTGCCCCACAGATAATGTGGATTATTATCTCCCCTTTAAGGAGACCTCTGAGAAAGGAACAGTTACGGTGTCCAGTTAGGGGCTTCAGTGGAGCCACTCTGTTAACAAGCAAAGGCCAGAGCTACTATAGAGTGACCAGACTACACACAGGTGATTTTGATCTCCTCCTGATCTCATGGAATCCATTCAAATGCACAGCAGTTTTAATTGAGCCCTCTTAACTGTAGAGGATAAATTCTGCTCCCTGGTAGAACAGGGAGAATTCTCCACAGAAGACCCTCATAAATATTTCTTCCCCTTCAAATCTCTCTTGAGTGGTTCCCTGTGGAAGTGGGCAGTCTGGCCTTATAGTATTACTAAGAGTTATGATTTTATTTTTAGATAAGCTGCAGGAGCAGATATAGTCCTAAACAAAGATTTTACTTTACACTACTTACATGTGGTAACTCAGAGCACTTTCCACTAAACAATAATATTACAGCAAAAATAAAAATAAAAAGGGAGTACTCAGTTTAGACTTAAAAATTGGGAATTTCTAATTTCCTGAGTTTGAGAAGCACTTTCCAGAGAGGTGTAAACAGAAAAAGCCTTGATTCATAAAGAGAACAGCCCTGTTGCGAGGATTGTCATGAGTTGCTAATGGAACACTGAAAGAGCAATTCTGAAATACATGAAAGGCCCAGTCTATAAAAAAGTTGTTTAAATGATAAGCAGAATTTTAAAATCTATAAAGAAATCTGCTGAAAGCTAATGTAAAGATTTTAGAGAAGTTGAGTGTATAATTAAAAAGTCTTGCTGCTGATTTCAAAATGAGCTTGAGTGTGCTGATTTGTTTATAAATAAGACCAATAAACAAGGAGTTTAAATAGTCTCATCTTATAAAGTTCATACAATAACAAACAAGGACAGAAACATATTACGATATTATATGAAAGCAGAATTGTCTCTGAACGGAATGCTCTTCAAAATTTATAAAAAATAATAGTGCTGCATGTCTTTTTTGTCATGTCCCATAAACCACTCTCAGAAGTATAAGATCTAAAGTACACCAGTCCATTATACTCCAACTGCATTGTTATAATAATACACAGAAATATCTATACAAGATTTCTAAAATGCAAATAATGTTGTTTTATTCTTCTATCTGCAAAATAGCTTTCAGATGTCAGCTTATAAAAATAGTTATCATACAAGAGTCTTTATTTTTTTCATATTTCTGATGTAAAGAGACTTGAAAATGGGATGGAAAATTATTTCTTTCCATAAAGAAATCAGATCTCTTCCCTTTTACAAAATATATCAGAATGTGGACCTTCAGCATCTAGCTGATGAGAGTAACAAGCTTGCATTTAAATAGTTCATCTTAAAAAGGACACATTTTGTTTTATTTAGCATGTACTGACAATGTAAGTTCTACCCTTCTCAGAGATGGCATCTAAATAACATGCATATATAGTACTATCGCAAGGTAAGTAATTTAAGTTGCTTCTACTGGAGCATTTAACATAACCTCCCCCTATCACCTCCCAGAAAAAAATCCCACAAAAATTAAAATGATGTAAGAAAAGTTAGATCTCTAATGTTGTTTTAAAAAATTAAAACAGTCATTACCTTTGTGTCATATCTGGAACAGGGGAAATCATTTAGGGGTCAGTTGTGCTTAGAAGGTATAGTTCTTCATTGAAGGTACAGTATAAGATTTCCATCTCAGTGGATTGCTAGGAGTGATTGTGTCTCAGAGGGAAGACAACATGATAGCAGTTTACCTCCCATCTGCCCAGGTATAAATGATTACACAAGGTGCAAAGCGAGAAAATTGGTCTCAATGATTTCCAGAAAGCAAAACATCTGTGTCAACATTTTAACACATCCTCATTTGGACCTGATGAACTGGGTTGATCTATATCCTTTTGGGATGGCTTGTGATGCTAATAGCTCAAGTTAGGCACAGTCTTTTTATTCCAGAGTGCATAAGGCACATTCACCCTGCCCCGTCTGAGAAATAAAAGCTAGAACCTTCCTATGCACTCCCACCTCCTCACTGCCTTCACAGCGGCCATACACTACATAGCTTCCAGATATTTGTGCATAATGACCATGACTATTCTTAAAAATGATCATTTACATGAACAACGTTGCTATTATGAAAACATGTTTGTTGCTTTAAAATGGATAAAAGTATGCACATGCAATGCAAAGATGTCAGTTTACAATCTGAACTTAAATATGAGTTAACTTCCTTGAGTAATGTTTTCTGATCTGATGCTATGCCTTCCAAAAACTGATTTCTTCTCTTTGTAAATAACATATGTTTTATATTATTAAATGAAGAGTTGGGTGTTCATTCAATAGTATACTGACATTTAGATAAATGTCAAGGAAATCATGATCTATAAGTAACCTTGAAATACAATAACTGATAGTACATTTCTACTTATAATTATAGTTCATTCAGTATATTACAGCCCATAGGATCCATCTTTCTACTCCATACATTAAATATTCAAAACTACAAGAAAATGTACACTCTCTACTGCTCACCCTCCCACACAACACCAAATAATTCCACATCATGTGACCCAGTTTCTTAAAATCTTTCCTGTTTGCAAAGTTAAAGTAAAATTACAATAAATACTACTACATTTCACATGTTGATTCAATTAACCTAACACTACCTAAAATGAATGTATATTCACCATCACCATTGCTTGGTACTATACATAGTTGTGTGTTTATAAATAATCCTTCTGTATGTTATCACAAGTGTGTGTCTGGTAACCTACCATTACATTTTTTATTTCCTTCCTGCACCTTTTGAAAAAAAAGTAAGAATATGACACCCAGTAATAGCCTGCCTGTGTGTTATGTAAGTTGTATGTATTTATGCTTTGTTTTATTGCAGTACAAAACTAACATATTCACATATATCTGATTGGTTTACTTCTAGCAGAATATTCTAGCAAAAACATCAAAAGGGTGACCTCAAATTCTGCTTTTAAAATGTCTATATTTTGGGAATTTTTGTTTGTTTGTGTGTTTGCTTGCCTTTTAAAATAAATACAGAGATTAATGGAAGAGGGAGTCTAGTTTGTTCCAGAATGTAACCACCACACTTAGAGAACTTGAGAAAAAGAATGTTTGTGTTGATATCATGTTAGCTGATCTGAGAAAAGTGTGCTGGGCAATAATGAAAAAACCTTGTGCACTAGGATGTCCTCTAATCTTTTCTGCTCAACTCTTGATTTATTGCTCTCTCGGTATTATACACTATACAAATTTTAGAAAGCCCAGCTGCATAGTACCCCAAGTAGGTAAAACATCTTGGAAAAAATTCTCGAATCAGTTTCCTCTCTCCACCCGACTATCATTGTTCCTGTTTCTGCATGAAACTTTCCTTACCTAATAAAGTCCTCAAATTAGATGCCCTATACTAAATAAAATAATAAATAGTAATAACTGAAATCGAATGTATTCCAAACTCTGAATAAATTCGTAGAACTTTATATACATCTCTATACTGAAGAATTTTAAAGAGCGTAAGTGTTGCATTTTCCATTTAAAAAGAAAGAACGTGACAAAACACAAGCTAATTGGCCAACTGTGCAAGGGAAAACCCCAGCTTTAAATAAAACAGGGAACCTTACATTGTAAAATGAAACTGAAATCCAGCGTCACTCCAGTATCTCAAAGTTACCTCAAAGACACAAATCCCATACATTTAATTGTCACTGACAATGAGAAGGCTATTGAAGGCTAGACAGTTGTGGCGAGTAGGGCTGGAGAGGCAGCAGCAACTGTGCATCATCTATGAGTCCCAAGCATTTCAGCTGTGCAAGAAAAACCGCTTGGGGCACGTTTGTGATCTCCGTTCCCCACCCTGGAGAGACTCACCTGAGCAGGACTGCAGCTTCCCAGAGATAAAATCCCGAAACAGCTGCACGAAGGTATCTAACCTTGGCCATGTTACTCCGAGGCACTCACAACCTCCAGAGCAGACGTTTCCGAGTCATGGAGGATCCAGAAAGAGTGCCAAGGAAATTTGTTCAGTCTTGGGAGCTGTGGGAGAAACTGCCGGGACTTCAGCACCCTGGAGAGCTCCCTGCGGCAGTGCAGCACTTGTAATCCCACTGGCAGGGAAGTTTTAGTCCGGGGTTAGTTATTCACCAGCGCCTGGCACCTGGGTGGTGGCTGGGAACCAGCTCGGTAGGGTTTGTATTTTTCATTTAAAGAAAGCGACTGTTCCAAAAGGGGAAGATCAGGCAGAGCAGAGGCGGCAGCGGCAGCATGAGCTCAGCTTCCCTTCCTCCCTCCGGCTCCTGCTAGCAGCCGGAACCCGGCTCGCCACATTCCTGAGCAACTGGAACGCTAGGGCCAGCTGAGAGAGCTAGCGCGGGGGAGGGCGGAGACCAAGCCCAGGCAATGGGCTGCCCACAGCCACTCAGGGGAGCTCCCAGACCGACTGACAGCCGGGCTGAGCAGCACCGCAGCATACCAGAAAGGGGTGGATGGGGGAAGAGGGGAGGTTAATTCTTTAGACGTGTGTGAGGCGGAGGGGGTGATGTTTCAGGGGGTGGACAGGGAGAGGATCCCCGAGAAGGAGATGTCTGGCGGCGGCGGGGGGGTTGACCCTGAGGAAGAAGATGAGGGACTGGTCCCGCAGGAGGGAATGGGGGTGGGGTGGGGTGGCGATCCTTCAAAAGGGGATCTGATGTGGGCAGCGGTTAGTCCAGCCAGGAATGGGGTGGGTCATCCCCCCCGCCGCCGCCGCCTTTGTCTTTTCACATCCTTTAAATTCAGAACGAGTATTAGAACGGAGCCTTCTGTCCTAGCTGCGGTCAGAGCCCTCCTCAGATTAAACGCTCGTAAAAAAGCTGTTGCCTAGATGTGTCCCTCTGTACGGTGTTGGTGGGGTGGAGAGGAGAGTCGAGTGCAGGGGGCGCGGCGTGCAGAGGAGGGCTGAGTCCCCGGGGCTTGGGAGGGGGAGTTGTGTGTGTTTGCGGGAGTGCGGTGAGGTTGGGGAACGGGCAGACGGGCGGGAGTGTCCAGGGACGTCAGGTGTGCAGTGCATTGAGCGCTGGGCAGGGCGAGGGAGCTATGCGCTGGGGTCAGTGGCTCTCCGATGGCTGGGAAGAGCTGTCCGTGGTTGTTACCGCTTTGAAAGGCGCAACCACTGAGGAGACGGGGAATCCTGTCGACCCGATCCTTTTTCATCCCTTGTGATGAGAGTGGGAGTTCAGAAGGGAAGAGCGCTCTTGAGCAAGGAGGCGTTGAGAGCTTCAGGAGGAAAGAGTCTGGGGAAAGGGGGCGAGTGAGGGAGAGACAGGTGGGGGGAGAGAGGGAGTGAGAGAAGAACGGGCTACGGGAGAAGGAGCGAATGGGGTGCAAAGGGCGGTGCGAACATCTGTGGCTGTGAATGAACCTCCGTGCGGGACAGTGGGCGGGGGGAGGAGATCCCTCTGGGGGTGGGGAGGCAGAACGAGAAAGCACCTTAGACAAGGGGAGGCTGTTTGTGTTGGGGCTGGGAGGGGTGTGTGTGTCCTTTTTTTGGAGGGGGGATCTCTGTAGCAAGCTCAGTCTGGACGGGGGCTGGGGCCTGCAGTTGTATTTGCGGATGTATTTGGGGTGGGAGGAGCTTGTCTGAGCAGGTTTTGGGGGAGCCTGCTTGTGCTGGTGCATGTGTGAGTGAGGGGAGGCGGCACTGTGTGGAATAGGCAGGTGTTGGGGGATAAGATAGGAGAGTGGGTTTGCTTTGGTGTGGGGAGGAGGCGACAATACTGTACAGCGAGAGTGAGGGAGAGCAGAAAGAGTGCCAGAGGGGCAAGGGAAGGAAGGTGTGGGGAAGGAAGATGAGAACAGTGCATAAGAAACGGGGGGGGGGGGCACAATATAGAAAAATGATATAGGGGTAATAGACTGAAAATGACAGAAGAGAAGATAAGGTAGTAAAGGAAATGGGGGGAAATAAAGGGAAAGGAAGAGATTGAATAACAGCTATGGAGATAAGACAAGTTTGTACTTACTAGAAGGGATAGGTACAAAATGATGGATTAACCACATTTTAGTTACATTATTAAAAGAGGGATACGATAAAATGTGCTGTTCAGCCATACATCCTCCTTGTTCTTTTTCTGAGGTTGCACCTATGCCGCCTTTTGCTATCACCACTGCAATTGCCCCAGCAGGCACCATTACATAGTAATAACTACGACCTAATTTTCTAGAACTGATGTGTGGTTCCCCACACCCACACATACTTCGTGTTAGATGCATTGTTGTGGGATACTCTAGAATGTCATCTGTTTAAACTGACCCTTCCCCCCAGGTTTTCTTTAAAATTTAACAGTTAAATACGAGAGTGAAGGAGCAAGAAGATCGGGGGTCCTCTATCATTAACACATCAAAATTGCTTTGCTTCTTAATGCTAAGGAAACCTCCTTTTCTTCCAAGGTCTGTTCTGGAATTAATGGGATGCATTGAATTAAGGTGTAAAGCGCATGCACTATATTTTCAGAACTGTCACATTTGACTTTTTTCTTAATATAAACATTTAGTGAAGCTCTTTCTCATTGGTACTGTTTAGCTTTAAAACCCTGTGCACTTCCACACTTAAATTGTCCTACTTTTCCCCAAGGGATTCAGGAAGATGCATTTTTTCTTATAACACTATTTATTAATATTACCACAATGGGGTCTCTAGTATGAATAGTTCCATAAATGAAAAGTACATTAAGTATGTATAGTTCAAATTCATCAACATGACAGGAGGGACACATTCATTCTAATATGGCTTAAGCAGTATTCTGTATTTCACCATTTCTTTACTGAATATAAACTTTAGATACTATGCAACAACTGAGGGTCCTGTGGCACCTTTGAGACTAACAGAAGTACTGGGAGCATAAGCTTTCGTGGGTAAGAACCTCACTTCTTCAGATGCAACCCTCTGTTGCTTTTTACAGATTCAAACTAACACGGCTACCCCTCTGATACTTGACACTATGCAACAACTGTTTGTTATGAGTCTCAGCGCTTATGAAAGTTGTCATATTGACAGTGTTGAATACTGAAATCTTCTCCTTAGCCACAAAAGAGACATAGTATAGGGAGTGGCAGTATAAGCTTCCCCACACCACACTGTCACCCAGCACTGCTCTATAGCCACAGCCTACCTTTGGTGAAAGGAGAATTCAGTCTCAGGCCTGGTCTACACTAGGCGTTTATGTCGAAGTTAGCGCCGTTACATCAAATTAACCCTGCACCCATCCACACCGCGAAGCTATTTAGTTCAACATAGAGGTCTCTTAAATTCGACTTCTGTACTCCTCCCCGACGAGGGGAGTAGCGCGAAATTTGACATGGCCATGTCGAATTAGGCTA